ATCTCATCACCTCTGCCAAAACACTGCTAAATATTTGACACCAGCTTCATGAAGGGTTCAAGAAATAGTTTGTATTGAATATACATAGTGTTGTTAATCATTCTCTTCTTCATATATCACATGAAGGATGGACCTGAATGAATCAGTCTGTTTGAAATTTGGTTTTCAATTAAAGGTACATCAGAAGAGGGTTTGCTCATGAAGTGGGAGAAGGGGAAGAAAGTGGGGTTGGTAAAGGAGAGTTTGTGGGTTGAAGGAGAGTCTAGGGAGATGCAAGTAGGGTGTGGTCAGTTTCTGTAATGTGAGGTGGGTCAGGTAAGGAGAAGAAACAAAGCCTCAGTCCTTTGTTTTGATATTATTTATCTGGCCATCTTTTAATTATCAAGTCTTGTGAATATAAGATTCTGAAATGAGATGCTGGCCAGGGTGGTTCTAGAGGGCAAAGTTGGAAGTTGTCAAAGTAAGTGCTGATTCTATCATCGTAGAGAGAGAAAGAAAATTTTGCAGAACAGAGAGGAGATGGCTCCATCTACAAACGTGTGGTTAGATGATGATCAGGGTCATGATAGGTGTGAGGAATAATACACCTTTCTTGTCTGGTGTGTTTCTGCATGGATTTTGCCGAGGTGACATCTTAGTCTCTGCTTACAAAATAACTTGCACAGTTGCCCTTACCACATGGCATTTTCCTTCTCTGAGGTCAGTGTGGGCATTTTGTCTCTTGTAAGCATGGGTGCAGATCACTTCCCCGTGCATGTTCATCTTTGACCTCAACCCCACCCTTGAGAAAAGCCGAGCATCTCCGAAATGCTAATTAATTTTCACACCACAGATGCCTAGGACATATGAACACAACTTTCTTACCTGACAAATTAACCTCTGCCTTGAATCAAGCCATTTTGAACACCTTCCTATGCTCAGGTATCTCGTTACTGAGAAGCAAGTTACCCTGGAGTGCCGGACACTACGAGAAGTTTGGTAACCAAGGAACAGTTCTATACAGCTGATCTCGTCAGTGTTGGCAATCAGCAGACCAAGAAATCTACGGTGCATGACCTTTGTCTTCTGTCTTGTAAAGAGATTAGAAATAAGAACATCAACTATCGCTATCTTCTGGAAAAATTATCTCCTGTTTCTTACTTATCTTGTCACATCTGTGTAAAAGTTCTCACTTCAGTCTCGAGGCTTTTCTTCTTTACAGCGCATACGCAGAATATTTTCTCAGACTTTAGGCAAGTCTATTCAAATCCTTTGCTAACTTGAATAATGATAATAACTTGTAGGACACTTGGAAATTCCATGGTGAATATTTGCTTATTAAAAATAGAAAAAAGAGTAATATATTTGAATATTACAAAAATAAATTGTGACAAAATATAATTTCAAAGGTTATTTAAACCTTCTATTTTTTTAGTTATCACAACATTTGGCTGGAACCTTTTATGGTTTTTTTAAGTTGGACAAAAGGACAATCTGTTATTTGTGATGTGTCATAAAAATTTATCTATTCTAGTCATTGTTTAGACTATTGAATTCATTCTTTCTATTACTTACGTTATCATATTTCTGTTGTTGGCCTAGTCATTGTTCAGACAATTGAATTCATTTTCTATTACTTACGTTATCATATTTCTATTGTTGGCCGAGTCATTTTTCAGACTATTGAATTCATTCTTTCTAGTGCTTTTGTTGCTACCACAATGTTTCAGATGTTGCATTCTACAGTCATATTTGTGTTTATCATCACTACTAAGGTCAAGAGTGAAGTCTCTTTTCAACAGAAAATTACTAATGGTAAATATTCTGACCATCTAAGCATATTTTGATCCATACAGGCAGTACTATACCCAGGCATTTGTTTAACACCAGTTGTTCCATACTTTCTGTTTTTGAAATAGGAACAGTATGACTCATTTTGTACCTAGAAAGGATATTTTCTGTTTAAATTAATTTGACTTGAAAGTTAACAATGATTTACCGAAGAAGCCAATTTTACTTTTTAAAGATTTTGTAAGAATTTTGTATTATTTTTCTTAACTTTGTATATTTTTTAGACGTGTCATCTCTTCAAAAGATGAACTTATTCTTTGTGTTACTTTCTGTTGCTATTATTTTCTAAAGCCTTCTTCAGTTTTATAAATAATTCTGAGAAAAGACTTTATCATTGAAGAAGTATATTTCAAACAATATTTTGAATGTTTTTGGCATGCTGGCCTTCTTCACAAGCTCAAGGTCAATAGTGTCTCTGGATGAATATTTGGCTTACTTCAATCATTCCGAACAAATTGTGTAATGAAGTTAATATTGAACAGACACACTTCTGTATAATTTCACATTAATGTGGTGTTCCTTAAGGTTTTATCCTTAAACATATTTTGTTTCTTATCTTCATCAATGACCTTCTGATGTCATCTGTTCCCAAGTTCAGTTATGTGGATGACACAACTATTTACTCCTGTCTTAGTAGCAAGTCTGACAGGTCTGACAAAGTAAAACTGACATCTGCTCTCAAAAATGACCTCTAAAAAATAGCTTATAAATTTGATTGCCTCCAAAACAAAACAGGTAGTATCTGTTTCATTGGCAAAATTTTGTTAGTTATATCCTGGTATTCTTTAAAAAGCTGAAAGTTTAAAATAGTCCAAAGTGATGTCACATGTTAGATTTAAGAGGAATGAGAATGCATCAAAAAGCATGTTTTTTTTTTTTCAATATGCATATGCCCACTTCATGATAATGTCTCTGATGGTGAAATATATTTTGTTTAGTGTGAGCTGTTAATTTTGTATAATAATAACTCCTGGGATTTTGAGACTTTCCTTGCATTAGGTACTGTAGGGTATTTTGGTATTATCAGACATGAACTTTGGATATGTTATCCAGAGTTTTAATGCCAATATACTACATTTGTATTTTGTTTCACATTGGAAATGAAATAGGGTATTGAAGATTCATGATTGTATTTTTAATATATTTCTCCTCTTGTAAATATTGAGGGTTGCAAATTTGAAGTGATCTTAAATAGAATCCAATGATCATTTTGGATTTTATTTTGGTGTTATGATGGGAGTAGAAGTTTATGAAGTAATTTTTATTGTTTGATTTTTGGTGGACACTAAATTCTAGGCTATTGTCAGATCAGTGTAACATAATGTCTAAGAAAGGCAAAATATTGTTTTTTTCTATTTCATATGTGAATTCTAGTGTGTGTTCAGTTTTTTTTAATTCATTAACAAGATCCAGAAAGTTAGTATCACAGGGATATATTAATGGAGCATCATCAAAACCTTAAGTATTTCATTTTTAATGCAAAACAAAAGGCACATAAAATATTCCAAAATAGAAGAGCTGTCCTTACTGACAAACCTAACGAATCAAAAAAATATATTATTCTACCCACTAACTCTATCACAACTACAACTGAAAAGAATTTATCTAAACTCAACATAAAATTTGTTACAACTACATTGAAAATAATTAAGGACTTAAACATTAAAAAACAAAACAGCCTGCCAAAACTTGAAGGTAGAATTTATTCTATCAAGTGCAGGAATTGCCAGAATGAATATATTGGAGAAACCTCAAGAAGGTTAAACAAGAGTCTATATGAATACAAAAGGGACATTTTAAATAACAACACATAAAACAAATTGGTTGTTCACCATAACAAAACAGACAACAGTTATGACATAGGAAATGCTACTTTGATTAAAAGAGAAAATAATCTACTGAAACAAAAATGTCTGGGAAGTGCCTTGATCACTAGTTCAACCACAATAAATTTGTGTCCAGGATCTTACACTATATCACCATTCTTGGTAGATTTTATATAGTCACAATGTAGGATAATCAGGAACAAAGGTGTTGGAGAGATAAAGAAAAAGAATACAGATGATTTTGGTTAGATTGAGAAAAAAAAATTCTTTCAAAAGATTTTGAAACTACCTGCTCCTCTCGTTTTGTGCACCTGTTGATGTGGCAATGTCATCAAAGCACAGTCCATTGAAATCCTAACAGAAATGCACCACAAAAAAACCTTTCCAGTTTGTCATATTTTTTCAAATATCTATCTTTCTATATATATATATATATATATATATATATATATACATACATATACATACATATATATATATATATATATATATATATGTGTGTGTATAATTAATTAACATATATGTTCTAAACAAGTATTGTATTTTATTTTTTAACCTGACAGTATTTCCTGTAAGCCCAACATCATATATATATATATATATATATATATATATATATACATACATACACACACACACACACACACACACAGAGAAAACACACACACACATATATATCTAGGTCAGAGATATATATATATATAAGATATATATATGTTAGATATATGTGTGTGTGTATGTATATGTAATGAAGGCCCTTTTTTCAGTGTTATACCAGCTTTTGAAAAATATAAAAATCCTTAATATAAAAACTAAAATAAAATCATTGTGACACAACTGCAAAAGACTCAAACATTAAAATGAGAAATAGAAATTTTTTTCAAACTTGTCTCCTGATCTTTAACAAATTCTTGTAATTGCCAAAGGTTTGTGTCGGGATAATGAAAGGAGAAAAACCTCAATATCAGATGTTTAGGAAAAAAGAAAAAGAAATAAAAGCAATAAACATTACAAAGCATATACCTTCTGATTTTGTCTCATGTAGAACCACGGTGTTAATTGAAATTACCTGTGTTGATCTCTCCGTTTGGCTGATGAGAGAACAAGCTTAGCCTTTTTGCTCCTGGTCGAGCATGTTCTTTTCAGGAGCCATTTCATGTACTTCTGGTCACACTACACGACACAAGTTGCTCTTTTTTATATTTTGGGATTTTTTTTTTTTAATTTCCTTCTTTTTCACAGATTTTACCATCTTCGATGTGTGTAGGAATTTTTTTTAAATCTCTTTTGTTTTTAATTATTATTGTTGTCATACATCTTTTTAACTATCTCTTGTTCTATCAGCTCACTTCTTTCTTATGTCATTATTGTTATTATTATCATTTCTTTTGTCCTTTTCTTTTTTTCTTCACTCTCGTGTCTTTCATCTTACCCCTTAGTCTTCTCTCTTTTTCTTCTTAATCTTTCTTTGCCCTTTTTTTTTTTAATCCCCTCCTAATATTTCATTTTATCCTCTTCTTCTTTTTGACTTTTTTGCTCTTTTGATTCTTCTTACTTACCACATTAATCTTTTTCTTTCCTTCAGCATTCTTTCTATTTTTATTCTTCCTCTTTCTTTAACACATATTTTTCTTTACCTTTTTCTTCTTTCATTCACTCCTCTCTTTCTTTGTTTGGACTCATTTTTCCTTCATGAATCCATCACTATCTTTTTGATAAAAATGTTAACTTTTCTTTCTTTTTAATTTTTCTCTTACTGTCTTTTCTCTTTTCCAGTCACTTCCCTTTCTCTTTTTCTATCTTTCACTTTTTCTTTTATCTCAATTTTTATTTTTGTATCTTTTATGTTTTAAAATTTTTCCTACATTTTCTCTCTTTTCCAAATCTTTCTTCTAATTTTCATTTTTTTTTTTTAAACCTTCTAATTTTCAGTCTTTTTGTTTCTTCCCCCCAATCTTCTTCCTCTTTTAAAATTGCTGAATACATCTTCATTGATTTATTTATTATCATTTTTCTTTAACTTCTTTTCCTTTGTTTACTTTTTTTCTGCCTCCCATTTTCTTTTCTTTTTTTTTTTTTTCTTTTTCGTTTTTCATATCCTTTTTATCCCTAATCTGCCACAGGGTCTTTGTAGTAATTAG